GTTTTCGTATGCGTTTGGCCAATCAATGTCTACTTATGTCACGATTAGTACCAGTTGTGCTGGTTAGACCCTGCTCCGGAGTAGGAGCTAATTTGGTTCTCGAAAAAGGCAGTCCGGTACTAAAATCGCACCCAGTTCCGGCGGCGCGAAAACGCCAAAAAGTGGGTAGTTCCACAATTAGTTCTGGTACTATGAAAAGGTTCCCGCGGTGCGAAAGGCCCTTTTATATAACAGAACTGAACTTTATATAATGCTATACTAGTCATTTGCCACCATATTTGTGAATTATGTATATAAATACTGTTTCTCGTTGAGGTTGGAGTTTATCAGACTGTTTCGCTGACCTGTTTGGGCAATTTAGGGTTTATTGATCTTAGCATGAAGCTAAAAAAGCTAAGCATGAAGGTCCACCCCTAAAAAAAAAAGACCACTGGAATATAAAACGAATGATGAATAAAACCGTACAAATTCATAAGGATTCGAAAAATTTTAAATAGTTACAAATTGCCATGAGATTGTGTTGGTCAATCACTGAACAATTAATTTTAGCTCTATATTTCCATTCTCTTCATTTTCTGGTCAATGTGTAAATAAATGTATTAAATCACGTGTAAGTGCATTTTTCCGCAAAGTCTGCACTCTGGAAATGTCTTAAAATTTCTTTATAATGCATAATAACAGCCACAGAGGGATAAAAGAGTCAGCTATACTGATTTATAGAAACACTTCAGTTTAACCACATACATGATTAATTATTTAAAAGGTACAGAGTTCAAAAGATACTGCAAAACAGGAATGACCCTAAGATGCACAGTATACAGTATAAAGTGTGTAGTATACATTTGTCAGGTTACCAGAATCAAATAGCATAATTCGTTTACTGCATACTCATTATGGGTCTTCATTTACACCTTCTTAAGCAGTCTTCAGTGCTCGCTCTAGTTGATTAAACCACACTATGATTGAAAATTAGCTGAAATTTGAAGTAATTTTGGGTTCATTTCATAAGCACAAATCAAACCGCCTCTCTTCCCACACACAAACACACAGACAGAGGGAGTGACAGCCTCGCTTCGGGTGTTTGCTCCTTAAAATCTCAGCTGCCAATCCTCTGATATTGTTACATAAAGTTAAATAAGAAGATTAAAGTTACAAAGGAAAAGCTGTTTAAAAAGAAACCTGAAAGAGTCTAGGGAGTAAATAAAAAACAGAAAGCAGGGTGCTGGGGTCATAAATTCTCCCTCCTACCTGAAACACGCCTGGGTGTCAGCAGTAGAGTGTGGATATTCCTGGAGGCTGCAGCTGGCCTACATATGCTCAACGCCGTTTGATTTGTCCTCAGCAGTGGTTTTTCCTGACGCTGGAAAATTCCCATTTCCTCTGGACTGATCCAGGTGGTCTCAAGAGCTAAAGTGTTATTTAGATAAAACTGCAAATGAGAAAACAGAAACCATGTCAGAATGATGAAAAACTATGGCATTCTTTAGAGGTTTTGTGAGATTTACACCCCAAAACGAAATATAATCAAATACCATGAATGCTTCCTTTACCTTGTAGTCAGGCACACGTTTTTCCACCCAGCCCTTGCCGTAGTGTGGAGGCAGGACCGTCCGGTATACATGAGGAAACACTGGAAGTAGATCCACACTTGTAGAAGGTTGGAAACCCAACACATGAGGCCTGGAAGGCATCTCCCACTGGGACAGACAAGCAGAAGAGAAGAACGAATTACCACCGAGATCTATTCCGATCCATCTCATTAAGAAGAAGTGAAGAACTGAATCAGGCCTGGGTGGGATGGAAAGCTGTTAAGAAAGCATTTTAGTTACAGGGAATTTTTGGGAAAGTTATGGAAGTCTTTTTGGCATAACACTTGCTGTTCTTCAGCAGTTCCACCAACTGTAACAGGATAAATGATAAATTCCCAACTATCAACACAAAACATTAAATGTTTTTCCTCATAACATGGATGACAGCAGATATTTCTGGAACAGGGAAGGTTTAATTAGTACAGTTTTACATGATGACCACAATCACAGTCATGTCAGTAACCTTTCTGTATCTCATTCAATAACTACAGAGAAACCGCTTGTTAAAGGGGTCCTATTATGCTTTTTCACTTTTTTAATTTTAGTCAGTGTGTAGTGTGCATGTTTGGGCATAAAAAAGATCTAGAAAGTTACAAATCTCAAAGTCCACTCCAAAGGGAGATATTCCGTTTTTTAAAAATCCCTTTTCAAGAACTAC